ATTCAGTCATGGGTTACGGCCGAGAGCAATATATTCAGTCATGGGTTACGGCCGAGAGCGAGGGTATTCAGTCATGGGTTACGGCCGAGAGCAAGGTATTCAGTCGAGCTGAGGCGTTTCTGCTGGATATACCTGTTTGGCGAGCTCTGATTACAGATCGCCGATCGCATTGGCATGTCACGACGGCGAGGGCGGCGCTTCACACAAACAACATCGTTCGGGCATTGGCCCTACGGGGTGATATATACCATGGGTATTACCCTGCACGTATTGGCGCTGCTTCCGATCAACGGGCTCAGCAGGTGAAGCGTCCAGTGCCTTCTTTGTCTTTTTCGGAGGGCGGTCACTGAGCCGGACAGAGCAAAGATGCAGTCAGACGAACAGACATGCCTTGGCGCTCATGCTTCTGTCAAGAACTTTAAGTTATTCTTTGTTACGGTGGTCAGTTGTGATCCGTAAAAATCATAAGCCGCCGCTGGGGTCTCATCAGCGAGTGCGATGCACTCCTAGTGCTGGCTTCTCCGAGGACGGTGAAGTGCATACTGTCTCTTAGCGTCCATGAGCACCAATTGGAAAGCATGGCGGGCGCCAGACAGGGCCAGTACGATCGTCTGAGTCGCTTCTCATTACCCTGCACCCCTGAGGTGTTTCCCATGCCAGCAGAGGTAGTTAATCCGCTGAAAATTTCTCCGCTTATCGTCTGCGGCGCTATGACAGATCTGTAAATGGCCGACTCGTGACCTAACACTAGCGACAGTGCTGCGGTCGTCGTCGTAAGCCGATCTGCAAATCGGCTTGCGGCGATCTGGCAGATCGGCTTGCGACGGAAACAACTGATCTGCCGGTCGGCGGCGGATCAGCTCGTTCCGTCAGCGAGATCAACCGGAGCCGGAACACCGGCCATATTAGCAGCGCAGAGCGAAGCTCGGTTGTCAAGACGGTTGTCTGCTTTTGGGAAGCCGGGGTGTTATTCCGCTGCAGGGTCATGGGAGGGCCCATGGTTGTTGCGTGATGGCCGCCAGTAACCAGCTTATAAAGATAAATTTATCCTTTCATCAGGCCGGCCAATGTAATTTCCCGCGTAACTCCGTGCTTCCTACGCCGGTTTCATAAACTTGGCAGTGCCCCTACGAAGTAAATCGGAAAATTCCGAGGCTGGAGTGATCTTAATGGCGGTACAAGCGGACGTTGCCGTGGCAACGATGTCGTTCGATTTGGGCCCGAGAGATTTGGATGCCTATAGTAGATAAAACACATCACTAAGCTGGCATAAAAGGTGTGGACATTTACTGCTTAACTCATGGATAAACTTGTGATCTGCGTGACGATTGATTGAAAGTCTAATTGCCATCACTTTTTTCTTTCGCTGATATGCAGGTGTATAATTGTCGATATTGTTCCGTTTCTCGTAGAAGCAAACAAAGTCGCTTGCCCCGTGTGTTCATGCTCTGAGCTTTCCTGTACTACGTGTGAAGGCAATATACACTTCGACGACGAAAGTTCTGTGAAAAAGCTGACTTTCCTTACCTCAGAATGTACATTTGGTAAAGTTATCTCATGTCTGTCCGAGTGATAGCAAGAAAAAGACATGATCTCGTGAAATCCGGTATACGTGGGGAAGAGGTAGGTTGCAGGGCGGTCTGCCAGCTTATCCACCACAGTTTATGGCATATGTTTGTGATGCCTACAAAGCTACAATACGAATTGCAACTGTACTTATTTCCTCACGTAGACGTACACGTCCGCCCTTAATGTGCTGCATCGCTTCATAACTCAACGGTTGCTCACTGAATGGTGATTTTTGGTCTGAATGCTGTATTCCTCCGCTGCTCCGCCATGCGTCAGCACCTCTATGATCATCACTGCTAATTTTACGACGAGCCGGAGCACGTTTTTATTTGGCTTCAGTTTCGGAGTGGATGTCTGCTCCGCGGGTCAAATCAGCTGCGTTTTTGAAACCCGATAGATGGTTGGTGAGCTATTGAGTGATTCCTTACTTCAGATTCATAAAGAGGACTGCATACAGCTTTTTGCTAGAGAGTGACCTTCCAAGCATTTGCTTCCAATCCGGTTGCATGAAGTAAGGGGGTAACTATGCACTCCTGCGCCCATCACATTCTACTATGTACAGGGAAACCCGAAGTAAGGAGTTATAAAACGAAACGATGCCCTGGCCCGATGTAAAATCAGAAGTGGTGATCATAGAGGGACTGGCACATGGCCATGCGGAAGCGAAGGAACATTTAGACTGACAATAAACCTGCAGTGAGAAATTGTTGAGCTATAAGGCGATGTCATCATATCGAGGCAGACTTTGTACGTAGGGGCACCTGTGCGGATATGTGAGAAAATCAATATAGCTGCAATTCGTGCTGTAACTTTGTAAGCATCACAAACATGTGCCAAGAAGAGTGATGGATGAAGCTGGCAGGTCGGTATGAAAACCTATCTCTTTCCGGAATGTCGCGGATGTCTGAATATTATTTTTAATTTGTACAGTTCTTATGTCACGTTTTTTCAAGAAAAGAAACTGTGACAAATATATGACTCTCTTTTTTCGTGAGACATGATATACGCTCACAAAATACATGACGTAGGGCAAGAATAAAGTGAGCAACTACCTGTGCGCTTACTTGATGTTGGCTGTGATGTAATATGTTTCAAATGCCAGAGAGGCTACACACAGTCCTGCTGTGGCAAGAGTAAATGCACAGTCGTCTTGTGAAAGGAATGAGGAAGCGTGGGTACCTTCGTATTGAAGCGTGAGCGGTCTTGCATGTCGTATATAGCTGTGCTAGGCATGGCGCCGGTGTCAACCCTGGGGTGCCTGGTTTGGGATCTGGCTACTCTAGCCGGTTCCGCAGGGGCGCCCCGATGTCGGCATGGAGCTGTTTGAGGAGTGTCACATCGTGTTGGGAGTCTGGGACTGAGAGGGACCGAGACGTAGCGACTTCCGTTCTCACTGGTTTAAACTAATAGCAGAGGGGGACGGGCTGCCGGCTGCTCTATGACGTAGCAATCGACCCGTGTGTGGAGCCCGTTGGGATGGCAACAGTCTTTTTGAGACGCGTTGGCTAGGACTGTGTGTTTAACCTATACCACCTTGGAACGAGTGACCTGAATTGTGTATGGAGTCCGCCGAGGTCACAGAGGCCGCCTTGGGACGCGTGGCCTGCGATCTGTATGGAGCGCCTGCTGAGGTCACAGCGGGACGTGTTGTCCCCAGACTGTATGAAGCCTGCCAGGCCTCAGCGGCCACCCTGGAACGCATGAGCTTAACTGTGTGTGGAGCGTGCTGAGGTCACGGGGGTCATCTTGGAACGCGTGGTTCGGGCTCTGCATGGAGGCTGCTGAGGTCACAGCGGGAGTCGTTTTCCGGCATTGCACCTGAGGTCTGCTTTTAAAACGGCGCACCAATTTTCGCGATTCGCAACTAATGCATGGCAATATGTGCGGCCGAGCTCAGCTGGGACATTTAGATTGACTGCTTGACTACTTTCCGGGCTCGGAGCCGTTGGCCTGTTCGGACTGATGACACAGATACCGGCGGCAGCCAATGCGAGAACGGTGAGCCTGACTGCGTTTTTTAAACCTCGGGCCTGACGAGGTTTAAGATGCCTAAGATAAACGCAGAAATACCGCGAGGGTGATATAAAGAGTGGGGTCATTTACGGATGAAGTAAATAATTAATTTGTGATTTGTGTGACGAGTAGTTCATGGACTAAATGCGATCTCTTTTGTCATTCGCTGAAATGCAGACGTCTTATAATTGTCAATACTGCTCCGCTACTCGCAGAAGTAAATAAAGCTGTTTATGTCTCCTGTACTCACACTCTGGGGTCTCCTTCCCGTGCTAGTTATGACGGCAACATGCACATCAAAGACAAAATCTGCCTGAAATAGCTTACCTTATTCTTACCCTAGGTGGGGTATCTTGTGAACTTATATCATGTGTGTTCGCGTCATAGCAGGAAAGAAAAACATGATCTCGAGAAATCCGCGACAAGTGGGAAGGAGGTTGGTTTTCACAATAGCGTGCCAGCATTATCCTCCTCAGTACTTCTGTTTCTGATGCCCATCAACTACTATGCGAAGTGCAGTTGCATTGAATTTCTCATATATGCGTAGTCGTCCACCCGTATGTCGGCATCGCTTCGTAGTTTAGCAATTTCTCAAATCAGGCTGATTTTCGGTCCAAATGGCCTGTTCCTCCGCTCGTGCTTGGTCATGCTCCGCCTCCTCTATGATCACCATTGATGATTTGACGACGGGCTAGACCATCTTTTATTTTACCTTCAATTTTGTAGTGAATGTCTACTCCATGGTCAAACCAGCTGCATTTGTGAAGCCCGATGGATGCCTGGTGAAGTGCGGAGTAACTCCTTACTTGCAAAGTCTCCGTAAAAAGTAGAAGTTTATGGCGTAGAAGTTCATAGTTATTCCTTACTTAACGCAACCGGATTCATAGTAAAAGCTTGAGAAGTTACTGAGAAAGGAGTAACTTCCTACTTCAGATGTCCCTTAAATACAAGAATTTTACCGGCGTTTAATTGGTGGCCTTTTACCCTACGCAACTAGATTTGAAGTAAAAGCTTGAGAAGTTACTTCCTATCATGGGTGTCGGTTTGCATTCCTTTGTGGGGGGCCCTCCCTGACCCTCCCCCTCCCATGTTGGCTTGGCCCCCAGTTTTTGGCTGGAATGCTACAAAGAAACGTTGGTAAAAGATGATCATAACGCAAACACTATCTTCTTTGATCTTTCTGCGTAGTGGCGCCTAGTACCACTCTTATAACAAAAAGCATGGTTGCCTCACCACAAGATAGAAATCGTTGTGGGATACAGCTGAGCGGATAAAAGATGCAATAAACTTCACATACCAAGCGCCACAAGACACATTTGTGAGGATAAAGCGAGAAGCTGTGGAATATGGGAATGACCTAAGCGCTTCGTGGCTAGCCCCGTCCCCGTCCCCCACAACTAAAATGCGTGCCGCCTCCTATGACTGTCATGGGAGAGCGCCACCGGCTCTCCAAGGTGGCCAGAAAAGGGCGCCTTCCTCGTGCCGACCAGAAGAGACGCGTGCGTCGAGTGCCTGCTCCTGGATTCAACCCTGCATGGCTTCTGTACCGCTTGGATTAAATATTTGTATACATAATACAAAGGTAAAAAGCGTAAATTGCGTTTAATCAAAATAAAGTGGGCCAAATTCAGTGAAAAAAAATGGGAGGGGTGTAGGTTGTCGGGCCATCGGTTCGCGCCCCCCCCCCCCTACCCACGATTTACAAAACTTTAAGACCCTAGCTTACTACGCCACAATGGTACGCCATTCTCTCTTCATGAGACTGGTTACATGTGGGGTGTCGCACGAAGGTGTTTGCTTGGTCATGCGTATGGTTGCCGCGAGTGGAAGATGTTCTGCGCAACTGGCGAGTCAGCGACAGAAGTGCAACGAAATGAGCGCTCAGGTTGACACTCATATTCATTACATGCGTTTGTTGCGTACCAAGAAACTATGGTGGCGGTGTGACTGGTGACCGGTGACGTCACTGGTAATTTCATTGCTCATGGCTTTTGACTGGTCACTTCTGGAACTGCGAACTGAGGGCTGGGTTTGCCAATACTACAGCTGGGACCAGGCTGCTGAGCCGTGTGGTCCACGTGAATATATCTTGGTCTCTACGGTTATCTGGTTCTGCGTGTACGGCCTTGAAGTAAATGCATGCAAAGCACAGCCTGTGTTGCTCGGCAGCAGTCCACAACTGCGCAACGTTCTCAGATATGCAGCTTCATGTCGTGGCCCGACCTTCGCCCTTGCTTGGAGATGAACAAATCAGTCTGGTTTCTAAGGCGTTCTCACGTGAAATTCCCACAGATCTCTTGTTACATGACATGTTTTTTAGGTTATTTTCCGGTCGTTCACATCTGCGAAGCTATTTGCCATCCTCTGTGATCTAAGGACTGTGATCTCCGGGACCTTACGTAACTGCTTCATTGCATAACCTTTCACGGGAACACCCAAAACACCCGGAAATGTGCCGGAGCTGCTTCAGGATCTCGACTGGTTCACCGCTGGAGGGCTGGCGCGATCACACTGTCTCTCTGAAGCACAGAGCTTTGGCCTCGGCAGTCCGAGGTGCTTGGCTGCCAGTTGGTGGCAGGTCTTGAGACTCACGAGCGTTGTGCGAGCCTGGAAGGTTGCGTCCATGTGATGAAGTTGTAGACTGACCTGGACCAGTCCGGGCGGCTCCATTGTACCAGGTGCTGCCACCGGAGCTGGGGCACCTCCAGCTGGAATTCCTTCTGACAGACTCATAGCGCGTCACATCCGCATATGAGGAAAGGTTATGCGGCTGTGGCTTAGTTGTATCGGATGGTAACACAGCGTGCATGTCTTTTACTTCGTATGCATATGCTTCCGCACCCAGCCCCTTCCTTTTACATTGCGCTTATACTTTGGTGATGTACTGGAATGACCACGTGCTGCAACATGGATGGCCCCAATATACGTCTCATGACTAATATCACTTGGCGTGCCAGTGGTCAACCGCAATCTAGTGTGAGCCCCGCTATGAAACCGCCTGGGCCCCCCTCGGCACTGCGCTCTGGAAAATCCCAGGTCTTGCGCTGACAGGCCGGCTCCCTGTGCGAGCGTCTCGTGACGGCCCTTCGGCTCGCTGTGGCTGTGACTGTGACCCGAGCTCGGAGCTGTGATCAGGTCCACAGCAGGTGGTGCTCATCACAGCAAGCTATTGTTGTTATGCCTAACACTTTGTAATCAACGGATGGCGGCCTATGAGATTATGACTTAGCTGCATGTGTGCAAAAACGCTGTGCGGGGCCAGATGGCGGTGTGTAACGCACCGTACTGTGTCCCGCTAGGTGGTGGTGTACGACACACTGTACTGTGTCCGCCAGGTGGGGGCGTGTGACACACCGTCACTGTGTCCGGCCAGGTGGTGTGGTGTACGACACACCTGTGACTGTGTCCGCCAGGTGGTGGCGTGTGACACACCGCCACTGTGTCCGCCAGGTTGGTGGCGTGTGACACACCGTCACTGTGTCTGCCGGGTGTTGGTGTGTGACACACCGTCACTGTGTCCGCCAGGTGTTGGTGTGTGACGCGCTGGGCCTGCCGTTCCGGGACGAGTCTGCGGACGCGGCCGTCTCGGTGGCCGTGATCCATCACCTGGCCACCACCGAGCGCCGCTGTGCGCGCCCTCCGCGAGCTGGCCAGGGTGCTCCGCATCGGCGGCAAGGCTCATCGTCACCGTCTGGGCCATGAGCAGCGCACCAGAAAGGTACGGCCCGGCGCCCACCGAACGCCACACCGCCGTACGGTCAGCAGCCGTGCTGAGACGCTCGGCGAGTCTGTGCAATGCGGCTGCTGCTCACCGCGCCGGCAGTATGAGCTGTAAGGTGACTAAGTCATGTGTTCTGTCGCGGCTCTGTTGGTGTGTCTGCGCACTGCGTTGATGCACTCTGTTGCACCGGTGTTTAAGCTATGCATTATGCATTGGCAAACAGCGTGCCGCTGAGAGCTGCTGCAAGCGTCATGTGAGTGGGTGGCTTGCTGACTCGCATTGCACCTGATCGGGCGTCGAGCGGGTGAAGGCGGAGAGACTGAGAGGTCGCAAATATCCAATACAAACTGATTTTTTGCAACTTGACCGATGCGTGCGGTGATGACAGCGTGGCATGTATGATCAGCTGAGCGCTACGTCAGCGTTGGAGACGCTCGATCCCTTTATTCGAGCATTGCTGTTCGCTGTATTGCGCTGTCTGTGAGGTGATATCATCCATGTCCGGGTTAACCTTAAAGCTCCAGTGGTTGCACTGGTATCGTGACCGAGAAGTGTCAGTGAGGGCCACGGGCCGGGCGTGCCACAGTTCGAGAGCCAAGACGTGCTGGTGCCGTGGAATCAGCAGCAAACCAGCGCCAGCGAGGAGGTGCCTTCCGTGGTCGAGCCGGAGGCCATCTCTACCACATCGGACGACGACCTGCTCAACTACAGCGCCTTCACGCACACCAGCGACAGCGACTCGTCAAGGTCGACCAGGTGAGCTGCACTCGGACCTGGCCGCAGATGACTGTGCCGGTACTGCTAGGCGCCCCTCCCCCCCCCCCCCCCTCTACTTCTGCTGAGTCACCTGCCAGGGTGCCTCGTTGCAGCGCACTTAGGGGCGTCTGGAAAGACCGCGGCGGTCAGATTCCAGGAGTCGGATTCTGCACGTGAGCACGATATTCATCAGTCATTGTTGTGTGTGGTAAGCATACCTGCTGAGATAGCGTGCCGCAAATCCCGGTCTTTAACGCGGTTCTAAACTACTGACATTATGGCGTAATGCACAGAGCGACTTAACAGATCTATTGGCAGCTGCCTTTGCTTGGAAAATCCGTACGAGAGACACGGATGTTCCGTCCGCGAACATTTCGTGAACATTTAGACGTGAGCCGTACTCTGTCTGTGCGCTAATGTCTCATCAGTCTGGACTTTGTGAAAGTGGCCCTGTAATGTCCTCGATTTTTATCAAATTGACTCCACAAACGCCGCCGAAATCCGTCGGCCGCCGGTTGCCATGCCGACATGGGCCGCTGTGCGCCAGGTTTCACGTGCGGCGGACGGGCCGGCGGCCGCGGAGGATCCGCTCAATCGACCCGACCATGGCCAGTTCGTCGCAAAGCTCGTCGGGCCTCTCGTCGCCCAGCGAGTCGTGCTACAGCTTCGTCCGTCGGGCGCTGCAGGTCGCTGGTCGCCGCCGAGGCCGCCATTGTAGCAAGGAGAAGACTTCTTTTCCGTCGTACTTACCGTTGTCGTGCCTGCTACTTTTTGTGCACTTGTTTTTAGTGAGGATGTGGTAAATGCTGGTCGCTCATTTTTGGTAACCTTTTCATAGTTGGCCATGCTTCACGTTCACCGCTAGAGAGAAGCGGTATGCGAAACATCAGGAATAGTAACCTAGAAGTGTCTTCAAATCAGGCATAGGTTTTCATGACCTGGAGGAGTCTCATTTGTCTTACCAATGCGCTCCGTTCGCTCCAATCCGCCGTCCGATGCATCTCTGTCATAATGCAGCCGTGGCTGGCCCAGTGACTTGCCGCCAACGCCTGCAGAAGCTGGCCCGTCGCGGGGAGGTGGACGGCTCGCGGCCCTGGATCCTCTCGCCCTGGACCAGCTACTCGGAGATGAAGCCGACCAAGTCCGGCGACGCGACCGACGGCAGCCAGCTGATCGAGATCCGGCTGGATGATGACGTCACGGGTCTGGAGGAAGCGCCTCGCCGGCGCAACACTCTGGGCTGCGACGCGCCGGCGGCCGGCGCCGCCCAGCCGCTGGGCACCTTCAAGTCGCGCAGTGTCGGCGACATGTGGAGCCTGCTGTCGGCCTCGATCCTGGGCGCGCGGCGCGGCGATGCGACGCGGCCGCCAGCCGACCGACCGCGCAGCTTCGCGTTCGACGAGGCGACGGCGGTCAGCATGGAGCGATCTCACAGCAGCAGCTCGGCGCTGCTGCAGCAGCAGGCGGCCAAGAAGGGCAGCCGCAAGTCCGTCACCTTCTCCACCCAGTCGCTGACGCTGCCGCGCGAGAAGCTCGCGCTCACCGTCATTGGCGAGAAGTCGAAGAGCGACAGCGTGCTAGGACTCGCGCGTGCGCTCATGTGAGCTCCTGAAGGCGCCACTGACCACCGTGCCGGAGAACGATGTGCGCGAGGAGACGGTCGAGCCGGCGGCGCCGAAGCCGTCGCTGGTGCGACAGCGACGATTGGCGGACGAGTCGGGCGTGCCGCGCGTGCTCAGCGAGGAGACGCCCTCGGTCGGTCGGCCGGTGCGCGGTATACTCAAGCAGGCGTCGCTCAACGAGAATCTGATGCGTCGCGATCGGACGGGTGAGCGCGACCAGATCCGCGCCAAAATCCGCAAGCAGCAAAGCCTCAACGAGAACGTCATTTACGGCAAGATGGCCGGCAGCCAGGAGGTGCCGAAGCCGGCTCACTTCGCCAACTACAGCCGTCTGCGCGCGCTGCGCGACAACTTGGGCAAGCTGAGCGAGAGCCTGGAGAAGCTGGCCGACAAGGACCAGCCGACGTCCGCGCTCAAGAATGGTTTGGTTAAGATCGTGCGCCAGCTGACGGACGGTACAGCGCTGCGCCCGGACGCGTGCGACGAGGAAGGGGTTCAGGGTCCGCCCCCGGAGGCTCAGCAGCCGCCCGCTGTGATGCTGGCGGCGCCCTGTAACGGACTGGCCGCCGAGATGGCGCTCAAGAGCGTGGCGGAGAGACTGGAGAACCCGCCAGTGGAGTCGAGCTCCAGGGCGCCGGCCGCCGCGCTGCCCGGTGGAGCCACATGCACGCGCGCCGACAGAAGAACGCTATACCGCTACTGCTCTCGCGAACGGAAAACCTCGCGCGAGGAAAGCTCGGACAGCTCCAAGGAGAACAGCTTCCAGAGCGACACCAGCCTCGACTCTGAGGACAGCTGCGTCTCCGTCATATACGTGCCGAAACTGGACGCTGCCGAGGTGGAGGCCAAGGAGCGCAGCCGCTCCGCCTCCAGCGAGTCGTCGGACGGCTCCAACGGTAAGGTGTCGCCCAAATCGCCGCTGACCGGCACCCTGCCCTCCTCGCCCACCCGGCTGCCGTCGGCGCCGATCCGAATCAACACCCTCAAGAGCCTTCCCAAGCTGGGCGCGCAGGTCTTGCAGAGCCACCTTCAGGGCCGGTTCCAGTTGATGGACCCGCCGCTGGGCGTGGTGCCGGCGTCCGAGTCGGAGGCGGTAGGTCCGCCGGCGCCGTCACCGTCGCCGGTCGATGTCACTGCTGAGCTGGTGGTGCCACAGACGGAAACACTCGGCCAGCTGCCGGCCGGCGGCTGTCCCGCCGTCGCCGCACCACCGGCCGATGAGAGTGCCCCGACGCCGGACGCCAGCGCACCGGCGAAGCACGGCCCCCTGCCAGACGTGGTGACGAGCAGTGGCGCCACCTGCGGCGGCGTGCGCACTTCACCGTCGCGAGGCCGGGCCGCCGCCCTGTCGGCCGGCGCCGTTCAGCCGCCATCCCCAGCGCCGGCACGGACCGACGCCAGCAGCTTCCAGTTCCGGCCGGAGCCGAGCGATGGCGGCGGCGGCGGCGGCAGCGGCGGCAGCGGCGGCAGCGGCGGCAGCGGCAGCGGCAGCGGCAGCGGCGGCGGCGGCGGCGGCGGCGGCAGCGGCGGCGGCGGCGGCGGCGGCGGCAGCGGCAGCGGCAGCGGCAGCGGCAGCAGCGGCAGCGGCAGCGGTGGCGGCGGGCTGGGCGCGGCGCGGCCGGCCGGCGTCAGCAGCCAAGTGTCGTCGCTCATCATGGGCGAAAACATCGAGATCATCCGGCGGCCTGGCGTGCAGGGCTTTCGCAACGTGCAGATCGTGCGCCGGGCCGCGCCCAAGTATCTCACGTTTGAGGTGTTTAACCCGGAGACGGATGACCTGGACAGCGAGAGCTCGTGCGCCAGTAGCAGCGCCAGCAGCCCCAGCAGCGCTTGCAGCGTCATCAGCATGGCCTCCGACTGGCCCTCGGCGCAAGAGATCCAGGAGCTGGACCGCGAGATCGAGCAGCAGCAGCGAGACCGCCTCAGCGAGCGGGAGACAGGTGAGCGCGCTGCACTCGTGCGGTGCAGAAGTTGGGATCCGGTGTGCCCTGCCACAAGGTGAGGCGCTCCACCAAGAACGCGCGTGCTCGCGGGCAAAATTTCAGCAGGGAAGGGGTTTGGCTTGACGAAGCAGAGTACAGACGGGTGTTGCAACCAGGGTTGTGTGACCCAAGTAGCAAGTTCCCAATGTACAAACGCTGAATACCCTGGCCTGCGAGACGGATAGTGAGCAGAGCCAATGACCAGTCGAGTTTCCTAATTCATCCACGTATTCTGCACATGTTGGCGACCACGGAGCGGCCGGTTGTGGTCAGTGCTCAATCAGAAGACAATGAGCGCTGACGGGTTGGTGGCACGTCCGCCGGGTCACCGTCAGTCCGGCGACGCGCAGGTCGCAGCGGCTTCCGTTTCCATCCACTGGCGTTGATGTCATTCCGTCATAAAAGGCTAAGGCCAAGCGTTCTTCAAGCTCAATGCGAAGGAAACAGATCTGGTTTGGTGTTGATGATCAGTATGCCTTAATGGCATGGCTAGACTGCTGTTGTTTCTAGACTCCTCTTCCACCGCTCGGCGAGCGTTGGCTTTTGGTGTAATTGCTGACACCGATGCCTCACTTCCTGTCCTCCTCCCCAGCGAACGGCGCAGCGCCGGCGGCGGCGGGAGCGCTGGCAGAGTCCGGCCCCGGGCCCGCGTCGGCCTCCCACCTGGCGGCGCCCTCCGAGACGGACGACAGCCTGAGCAGCTCTCCGGAGCCGCCGGCGCGGCTCAGTAGTCCGCGCGGCCGCCGCAAGGTGACGATGGCGCGGCTGGATGCGCCGCCGCTCGAGCAGGTGCTGGAGGAGGCCGAACCTGAGGCGGCGGCGCGCGCCGGCGCCGGCCGCCGGCGCGCGGTCGAGCCGAGTGAGTGGCGCACCTCGCTGGCTTCCAGCCTCAGCTCTGCCTCCAGTCTGTCGACGTCGGAAGCCTCGCGGACGGCCAGTCTGGGCGAGTCGAGCGGCCCTGAGCGGCCGAGCAGCACCGACGGCTCGGCCTCCGGTACGGCCATCTCCGACAGCGAGACGGCGCGCTGCGCCCGGCCGGCGCTCACAGCGCAGCACATCTTTGATCGCGCGGAGGCGGCGGCGGCGGCGGCGGCGGCGACGGCGACGTCGACGGCAGCGACGGCGTCGGCGACGGCAAAGGCGACGGCGGCGGGCGAGGAGGAAAAGGGACCGGGCAGCCGTCAGGCGTCCTCGGAGGAGTCTCTGCCGTCGGACGTGGGCGGCGCGCTCGGCCACCATCGCTACTACCACGTGTTCCGCGAAGGCGAACTGGACCGGCTGATCGAGAAGTACGTGGACAACCTGCATATTATCTCGTCGTACTACGATCACGCCAACTGGTGCGTGGTGGCGGAGAAGGTGCAGGTGTGGACCATCTAGCGACATTGACGGCACCCCGATCTCGCTCTGTGATTCCTCGGTCTGCCCGCCCGTGTTGAGGATGAGAATGCTCGCATGTATCGCTCACTCAGACATCGTTTCATGGATCCCCGGAGGCTGTCAAGGATTCATGTCAGTTATGGTCGGTCTCCATTCGCCGTTATGGGCTTGCGCACAGTAGTTAAGAACTCCCTGTTGTGCGTAAATGGGGTTAGAATTTCCAAAGCGTTGCCTTTAGGCTTCGTAGACTAAAGTATTATGCAATGTCTTTGTACTTAGTCTTCTAATAACTGGCCTTAGGCACATTCGCATGGTTTTATCAGCGTCGCGTCTCCCCTGCACAATACTTGTGGTGGGAGCGGTTTTTTTACATTTCACGTTAACAGTCTTTTTTGTTGCTCTCAAGCCAGGCTACGAATTTAGAGTATTGACATATTTCCGTTTCCGAGCAGAGGTGGAGACAGAGCGCAGACACTGTGATACTCTGACCATAGGGGTAGTCCGAATAGGATATGGGGATTCAGTAGACAATCCAGTTCAGTACTTCTGACTGGCTGGACATCGACTTTACAGCAAGAATACAAGCTGAGGTATACGTCAACCAGTGGAACATATGTTTGCACTGTTCCTAAATGTTGGTCAGTGCTTGTTCTGCAATACATATTTTGTGTTCTACTGCATTTGATATGTGATGAACGTGACACAGGCGATGAATATTCTTTTGCGGAAAAATCTCTTGTGCGCAGCATTGCTCAGCATATCACTAATATTTGACATATCTTGCGACCGTAAATGTACCACCACGTTATTGTCGTTGCATGGGTAAAACATTGTCTTAATTGCGTTTCACTTAAACGCTAAACTCTTTTCGACAGCCCTTCCATCCTCCCTCTGCATTAATTTTGCAAAGCTGAAAGATTCGACCTCGGTCCAATGGACGCAATTTATGCATGGGTTCTCGATCCACATATGGTGTGCTTATTCTGCGGAACAATCTTCACATCACAGAGTGCCAAAGTACGCAAAAGTCATCCAATGCGAATGGCGTTAAGGGGAATTTTACTATTGTTTTCACTTGCTTCAGTTGAAGGGAGTGCTCCATATTTGTATGGGGTTTTGAACGGAGATAGCAATTTTGAAAATCATTAATGCAGTTCAAAGCCATGCCCAGAGATGGAACTTTACATTTTTAAGGGGGGACGAGCTCGTGAACATTGTGCATCCTATCTCAAATAATTTAGACTAATGAAGCGCTCGGGTGGTGGTCAAATTGACTCCCTGAAGGTTTTTCCAGAATTATTTCGGAACAGCGCGGCGTAGCCGCGCCAAACTTTACATAGCTGCAGAAGATTGTAAAGCGGATCTTTGATTAAAGAAAATTAGATGTACCTTGTAGAGCTGCTGACCAGTGCAGGGCTTCGGATAACATGTTAACTGGGGGTTGGGGGGCGGGGGGGGGGGGGCAAATGCCCCCCGCAGTGACCGAACCCCCCCCCCCCCACCAGTTAACTCATTTTGCCCCCGTGGGAGATCAAATGAAAATTAGCAAAAACGGTAATACGCTGCCTGAGTAGAGAAATCAGCAATGGTGGAACATACCTGAAGCTCACAATTACGAACGATGGTGACATTGTGTTTCTGTAAAGTTTTTCACCGCGTCTTTTCCTAAAATGGTAGTCTCTTGTCAGCCAGCGGTTTTTTTAACGACGCAGCATATACAAATTCGTTGCTTGGCAACGGCGGCAAACTCTCGGCTGGCAGACGTTAGGCTCAACGCCCTACAGCAACTTCTAGGGCTAGGCCCTATAAACGTTAATGCAATTGCCTGTGGCGGATCCGTCGTCGATTGGTGTTCTCGTTTAAGTCGTTGTGTTCTGCAATGGACATACGAAGGTTCTTTGTGAAAAGATAGCTAGTTGATGCTCTTTCATCCCCAGTTCGATATGCACTGTGCAGTTGCTTCTTTTGGGTCCACGGGGTCACAAGACGGGGCAAGAAAGCAGGAATGGCCTGCCGCATGCTGTAGGTCTGAATGGCGTGGCTCACTATACCTGATGGATTTCGTAGGATGCCAGAAGCCAGAGATAGAAACGAACCGAAATTTGCATGCAATTTGCAAAATATGGAAATAATGAGAGGACCATAGGTATACGTGCATTTAACTGTATTTGTTAAGGCTTGACAAGGCTGGGGAGTGCTTTGGATCCTCACTGTATCTGACATGACTGATCTCACCAGCATGCTATAATAAGTGTTGCCGAAAGAGCGATTGCTTAGAGTATCGTTCCCGTCCAGGATGTTAGTAAGTGCAGAACGTATCACGACATTTGTTCGGATAAGTCAATGACAGATTGTTGGCCTCGTAATATCAAGACCCCGGTTCGGGCCCCAGCATTGCTAGTGCCACATGTTCTCCGAAATACTCGGATACTTTCATCGCCAGCTACCGCACGCCCAGCTTGAGAATTCTGCTTCACGCCGGCTTTCACCAATGAAACCACATGTGATGAAATTAGTCGGTTCATGCATTGCGCTCCACTGCATGGACCAAATGAACATGCTGACCACACGCTGTCGAGACTGCTGCAAAACAACAATGTGTGCACACATCCTCTAATGTATTAGTTGCATTGCTGCTTTATCCCGCATTGTCATGGTCCAGGCTGCCGAATGGCCATACGCATGCCTAAATGTTCGTCGCGATTGAGTGTGACCTAGGCGATATGGGCATTAGCCAATCCAACTATCCATTCAAAGATGTGCAGCCCGCTGCTCTTGGGAGCAGATGTAAGCTCTGGTGGAAATGCTTGCTGTTTTCTACGCACATTTGCTTTGCGCTGGTCGACTAGTCCCGTGACTGCCGAATACCCATTGATGTGTGTGCCGGGGAGTCATTAAAACGTCCAGGGTCGCAGCGTCCAGTGTTCATATCGTCCGGGATCACAGCCTCCAGCGTTCATAACGTCCAGAAAGCGTTCGATGGTGTGCCCATTGGGAGCGTTCATCAGGTCCAGGGACGCAACGTCCAGATTCGTAAAGTCCAGTGTTCAAAACGCCCAGTACCCACTGCAACCAGGCTAGTTTGGATTCCTGCCGCTAGATAACGCTACAGAAGCATATTTGAGTTGTGCCGTTATTTCCCTCTTTTGTCAACAGATGGCGCAGTCAACCTGGCATTCCACTGATGATCACCTGATGAGTACAGTCAAGCATGGTTACTATAAATTACCTAGATGCCTAGCCGTCGTGTCCGGCCTGGGCGCACCCGCGCCCTCGGGCTCACCGGCGGACTGGGCGCATACGCGCCGGGCGGCGGCGCGGCCGGAGACATCGGGGGGGGGGAGGGGGGTCGGCGCGGGAGCCATCAAAAAGTGCAGGATCGCAGCGTCCAGTGTTCATATCGTCCAGGATCGCGGCATCCAGTGTTCGTAAAGTCCAGAGATCATCCAATTCCGTACCCAATGGGTGATCATAAGGTCCAGGGACGCAAAGTCCAGAGTCGCGAAGTTTAGAATCGTAAAGTCCAGTGTTCAAAACGTCCAATATCCATGACAACCAGGCTAGTTTGGATTCCTGCCGCTAGATAACACTATAGAAGCATTTTTAAGTCCTGCCGCTATTTCCCTCTTTTGTCAACAGATGGCACAGTCAACCTGGTATTCCACTGATGATCACGTGATGCGTGCAGTCAAGCATGGGTACTGTTAGTTACCTAGGGGTCTGGCGGCCGTGGCCGGCCTGGGTGCGGCCGCGCCCCGGGGCTTACCGGCGGACTGGGCGCAGATGCGCCGGGCGGCGGCGTGGCCGGAGACACGGCGGGCGGCGCGGGCTCGACCGCGGCGCGGCGGGACCGCTGCGCTCGCAGGGTAAGCGGGCTTTCCCGCCCCGCCGCTGCTGCCTGGGCCCCAAATGCCAGGGTATACTCGGTTGCTCAGGGGCCCTTCATATTGGTATCGGGCTCTTAAGGTCGGGGTGTGGGAGTCGTGCTTAGGGGAAGTGGGGGAGTCGAAGTGCTTTTTTTAATTAAGAAGTGCTTAATTCGGTTCCCCGCGAAAATAAAGCTTTAGGGGCCATTTAAAGCTCTCCTGGAATCCTGCATCGCCTTAGAATGAATGTTTGGGCCGATTGTGGTGTTCCAATTTATATTAGGGGCTCATAAAAAATATCATGATGCCCTGCAATCAAGATTCGTGTTGCCTTTCCACCGCAAGAGTCGAACCAGGATTTCAACATTGTAAGGCAGGGCAGTTGTGGTGCCCCTGTATTTCGGTGTTCCTTGATAGGAAAGCTTTGGACTACCTTCAGTTGTTCTTTCAATCGCTCACTTGCATTTGGTGTCTCAAGGAAATAAATGTAGTGGTGGTCCGAAAGAAAGGTGTCGCTTAGCCGAATGGGCCGATGCAGGATTTCGTTACTGGAGAGGCACGTACTGTGATGACGCGTCGTAAAGCCCCAATGACAACGGAGGCTGTTGGTGCCTGTTTCCATGAGCAGGGTGTCCCTTCCCTGAACGAACCGGTCCAGAAATTTTCCAAAATGAAAAACACACCGATTGTAATGCTGTTGAATTTAAATGCCCTTTTAAGTTATGGTTTTGGGCTTTGTAAATGGCCCGCTTTGATTTAGTACCCCTCGGCGATCAAGATGATGTCGCCCCGCAAGGGCGGTTTTTGTGCCTCCTTGCCCGTGGGTCCGATCTAGAATTTTATTAGGGCGGAAGGCTCAACATAGTTATGGTCACGGAATTAATGGCTGTCTCCGAATCAAGAGTTAAGGCCCTTTTAAAAACATAGGTTATGTGGTTTCAAAATGAAGGTATTTTTGCCTCTTTGCGATGAGATTTGGTGCCTCTTCAGGGCATCCAAACTTCCTTGGGTCCAAAGGGGAGGGGAATGACTCCATGGCCCCTCCCTCTCTGGACCCGTCCTTGCTTTGTGGTGCCTCAGGAAGTGCGTGCCTCTGGAAAATAAAAGCTAAGATACTCCGCAATGAAATTCTTCGGTGCTCCCTCGTGGAACAGGCAGATCGAGAATTTTGCAAGAGTAAAAGACGTAAATATTCTGATGTCCGTGGATTCTGAACGCTGTTTGAAACCAAAGCTTTCAGAAATTTGAATTGCCCATTTAGATAGAGACCTCTTAAAATAAAGCGTATGGTGCTGCGAAATAAAAGTTATGGTGCTCCAAACGGACCATTTCGGTGCCCCCTAGCCAAAGGGGCCAATCCGGGATTTCGTCAGGGTAGGAGGCACAATACTGCTGTATCCTCGAAATTTGGTGCCCTCGGAAAATGGAGAGTTTGGGCCGGTTATGCTGTACTCGGACTTCAGTGCCTATCGAAAATCAATATTTGTGGTCATTTGTGGTGCCCGTGAAATTTTGGGGCTTTTGAAAATAAAGGTTAGGTGGATACGAAATGAATATTTTGCTGTCCTTTTACCATGATATTTAATTGCCCCTCACACCAAGAGACAGGGGGCATAGCCCCATGCAACCCCCACCCCCTACCACTCTGGATCTGCCATTGGTCAAGGTCGGTTGACGAGACACACCTCATCGCCTCATCGCCTCAAAGCTTAGCCCGTTATTTCTTCCTAATTTGTCATTCAGCTCCTCGCGTAAGCCCTAGTTGTATCACTTTGGTGTTTGTCTGAATATACACCGTGCTGTGTTTATGACTGCAAAACCCAACTCTATGTTCCGAAAAGTGTTGTTCGTACATCCTATGTAGCTGGCGCCTCCTTCGCACCAAACATGTGCACTGAGCCATGCTACCTCTAAACTATCCCCACGCAGGCTCTGAGCGCATGTTTCCCTCAAGTCAACAGGTACCCACCAGCGGTTCAGGTACGCACGCGAAGAGGTTCGCACGCTGTGTTGCTACATACGGCCCACTGCTAGACGCCTTTTGCATACTGCATCGCTCATCCCGTTTCAAGAACATTTGCAATAAGCACCGTTGAAAGTGTTCTCTGCTGCCCTTGCCCCGAGCACGCGGTGTTCCCACCTCCGTTACCAATTACGTAACAAAACAATGAGACGAATTGTGCATATTAAAAACGTTTGTTACCACATTCATTATATAATATATATATATATATATATATATATATATATATATATATATATATATATATATATATATGTATATATATATGTACGTGTGTGTGTGTGCGTGTGTGTGTGTGTGTGTGTGTGTGTGTGTGTGTGTGTGTGTGTATGTGTGTGTGTGTGTGTGTGTGTGTGTGTGTGTGTGTGTGTGTGTGTGTGTGTGTGTGTGTGTGTGTGTGTGTGTGTGTGTGTCGTGGTTATAATTCCCTTGGCCTCATGCGGAGCACGGTTCACTGATTTCTGACTTACGCGTTTACGGCCATCGGCTGCCTTGGCCGATCAGCTGATCGAGCCATTTTCGTTCGTGCCAGCCTGCCTGTTGACCAGCGCGTGAAGTTTGGCGCGTGGATGAAAATGTTCTTATGCCATTCATAATTGGTCCGACGGGAACGTTTCCCGCTTTGAGTTTCTCGCGCGCCGTAGTCGTCCTGCACCGAACCCCAGATAGATCACGACTTGTCGCATGGGAGTTGGTTTTCGGAGGCGGGCTCAGTATGAGATGACACAAGGAGCAAGCAAATATGGAAGTAAGCAAACATTTTTGCCTCACATGGTTGCAATTGTTCGCAAAATAGGGATCATCTTTTCACGAAACATCACTACCGATATCAAAAGCAGCGATAAAATATTATGTGAGACAGCGAGAGTAGGTACTTACACATGTGTGCGACAAAACACATGCAGAAGGGACATCACCATCAGCCACATATTTCTAAGCACTACGTGATATTGATTTACACATTCGCACCCTAATTCTAGTAGCACATATACCCCGTTATATAACTCCGTTTACAACTAGGCAAGACACGACGGAGACTAGAAAAATGTGAGAAGAAACAGAAATGCATGGTATGCTGTCATCTTCACCGAGGCATGCCTCAGAGAAAACTTGCCTCCGCCTGAAATGGCGCAAAAGTCAAATTAAATGGCAGAAGCTGCCGCCGCCCTACTGCCTACTGGCCAATAATCCGCTAGATACCGACAATAACATGATGTTCTGACATTTGTCTCGGTATCGCTACACGCGATCGCCTACTTGTCACCTAACGCCTACACTTTTGCATCTCCCGCTCCAATAGCATTTGAAGCGTTCCGCACACACTGGGGTTGCCGTAATCGCACTGTGTGTTCCTGCTTCCATTATCAAAGACTCAGCGAGATGATGAAAGGAGCTGAACATATTGAAAACTATTATGATCGCATTTAAATTGCATACCCGTATCTTTGTCATATTTCCTTCGGTCTTATGCATCCACTGCAGTTCGTCTTACGCGACAACAGCCATCGGGTGCCTTTGTCAATCATCTTACCGTTCGCGCCATTTTCATTCGTACCACCCCGCCTGCCGCCAAACGCGTGCGGACAGTCTGGCGCGTCAACGAAGATGTTCTCGTTGTTCGGACGGGGAAATTTTCGCGAGCATCGGAACCTTTCAGCGCCAGCCCATGGACAGAGCGCAACTTGTTGCAAGAGACTTGGTCTATTGGGACGGGGTCAGCGTGAGGTCAAGCTAGGAGCAAGCAATTATGGAAGGGAGCAAGCATTGTTTTTTTCCTGTTTTGCCCGCTATGGCTTCAGTTATTAGCAAAATGAGGAATATCGTTTCACGGAAAATCATTGCCGATACCCAACGCAGCAATAACATGACGTTTTACCCTCGCCATGATAGGCGGTGATTATGACACGTGTTTTGATACCAAAACGTTTTCCTAGATTTGCTGGTTTCGGAGCAGCGGCAGTTTGTGATGAGCGCTCGACTGCGATCTATGGCTGGCTCAGGCGGTGGGCGGCAAGAGAATTGCACTACAGCATGCACTCAGAGTTTAACAAGACACACACCAATTTAAGGTTCGTGTCACTGCAAGGCTTGTTCTCGTCAACATAAAATAAAGCTACAAAGTGCAGTTCTCTGTAAAATTCGACCTTTGACTTGTCACAACATAACAACTAGTACAAACCGCGAGATCGTGTTCAGAACAGTATGCTGCTCTTCTTGGCAAGCTTTATCTTTATAAGCTTGGAAGCGCCCTGAGAGGGTCGCATCAACCCCCTCTCTCCCCCAGTCCGAGTTATGCGAAACGGCGAATCAGGGCGATGGTTAAGACATACAGCGAGCGTAGGAACTTAAACATACGTACAACACATATGCAGAAGGGATATCACTTTCCACCACATATTTCCTGAGCGTAACATTACATGAATCTACACCTTTGCGCTCCGATCTGTGGGTGCCAAAGCTCTCCCGTTATGCCACTCTGGTCATAATTCGGCCAGATATTCCGGAGTCTAGACAATCTTCACAAGAAATAGAAAGTTGCACGGTATGCTGTCATTTTCACCGAAAGAGTCACCTAAATAACTTGTCACCGTCAATCGCGAAAACATGTACGATGCATATGAGCACTTGGTGTGGCAATGTTTTTGAGACATAAGTATGTTTGAAGGTGTATTCGCATTGCCCTGCCATGATACTGTCGTTAGCGAACGGGGACACGCACGGAAGCTAATTTTCGATGGCAAATCCGATCGACTTGACCTACAATGACCTTTTGTCTTGGGCGATTCTGGACCACTACCTGGCGCGAAATCTGACGCATGACTTAACCGCATGTCCCGACTGAGCGGCCAGAGGGGGTCCACGAGTTTACCAGAGAGGGCTTCTTGGACTGCTGGACGCTGATACGGCAATGTCATAATTTGTATTTGGCAATATTTCGGTTCTTATTTAGTATGGCCATTTTTTAGATTTCACGGTTCCGAAAAGAGCTACTCCCAAGGGGTTCCTGGACTCCTCAACCTTCTCCCACCCCCAGCCATGGTGTGGGAGAAGGTTGAGGAGACAGGACTCGACAAGACAAGACTTGAGACCCATGCATTTCTCGATTGGGGCAATCGGTAACTAATACTACTACCGAAGCTGCTTTTACAATGGCATTTTCAATCACCGAGGCGATAGGATGGTGGACAGAATCATCCATGTGCTACATGCGTGCACACGCGCCATGTTTGTGCCATTTTGGCCGTTTTGGCATCTCGCCTGCAGGGAGGCCCGTACTGGACTCCAGCCGTAGCAATCCAGCCGAAGTGGCGCCTCATAAGGCATGCGAATAGTCCCGAAAGCGATGTTACAGCTCCGTTACAGCTCTGGTCTCTGGTCGCTACAGCTCTGCTTCTCAACCACAAGTGCACACGTGCTACGCTTACACCAGATTTGGGAAGGGGGGGGGGGGGCAATTACAGGGAGGTCCGTTTTCGGACTTGGCAAGTGTCAACCGGCCGGTCGCTAGCAGCGTCCGCGCTTGCTCGGGTGCACCTTGCCGCCGCATGGCCGGGCGGGCAGCCGCCCGCCACCTAGTGGTAGACAGTGCAAAAGAGGTTCCTTGATAGAAATAACCCACAACCAATGCACCACCGCCATGATATCAACATTGGACTTTATAGCCTCCTCAGCAGAGAAGATTGACACCTTTTTCAGCGGGGTGCGTGCCGTAAGCCTAAGATTAGCGAAGCTGATTGCAATGCAACTGGTAGCTGCACTTGTAGACCTAATAATACCAGTTGGATGCTTTGTACTTTTAATTCCATTTTGTGAGCTTTTCCGTATCTGTTCGAAGCTGTTTCGTCATTTTTATAGCATGATGTTGCTAATTTTGCTAAGCACTGCTTTTCACAATTTGTATGAAAATGTCAGTCCGCATAACCCACCTCAGTAGAATTGCTCCTGGAAGTGTTATGTTTTGGCAATTATCAGTGTTCATAAAAAATATGAATGATTCATTGGCATTGCATTTCAGCTCTCAGAATGTGGAGTTTTAGCCCAGTATGAGCTGCAGCTCCTTGTTCCTGACTTTGACGTTGAGCGCAAACACAGAGTTCTCATAATCTATGAAAATTTCCTGGAAGACATTCAGGTACTGCAGTTTTTATTATGCCTTTCAGCATGATGTGGTGATAATTTATAAGGCTACGCTTATGTGCTCTTTGATTGGATGGTTATGCGGTAATGTCATGCTACTCTTGCTGTCATTTATCATTCAAATAAACCCTGTTATTTTGTTTTAGGGTCAGGATAGGATTCATGCACACCCATGAATTATATCATAGTATTTGTGCTGTTGGTATCCAAACACATTCCCAAGAAATGACTCACAACATGGTTTCAACATGTTCAAGGCAGCAGCCACCTTCAACTTCTCTCCCCTGTTGTGATGGACACCTGATGTGTGCTCTGTGTTCTGCGGCCAGCGGCTGCTGACCATGCTGGAGGGCATTTTGCCGGAGGGAGCAGTGGACCCGCCATGTCCTGCCACCGGTGACGGACAGCAGCGGTCCATGTGGTCTTCAGCAGAGGTCAGTGGCTTGGCTGTCACAGAACAGGGACCGGGACAGGGGCAGGGACAGCAATCGAGATGGCATTGACTGGCAGCACAGAGGATATATTGTATGCCACCAGAAGGAAGGGTGGGTCTATTATTAACCATCATAAGCCTATTGTTATGGCTGCTGTCCATAACAGTGGCGCTGCACCATTTTGGCCACCAGGCCTCATTCCTGCAGCATGATGCAAGCAGAAGCTTTGATATGTAGGTAAGCAACAAGCAGGCCATTGAAGTTGTGCAGTACTGAGAGGCATCAAATCAGGTGAGCATGAACATAGTGAGCGACCAGGAAAGCTGTTGCACACATGGGACATTGTTTACGTTGAGAGCACGGATAATCATGGAAAACATCCGTCAGTTTGACATCGTACCATCCGTCCTGGCCCAATGATCACTAAGTGGTGCGTGTTCCCCCTTGTTCGACATTGTTCACCAACGCGTGCATACGCGTGCTCTCATCGCCTCGCTCATCTGACGTACCGTCTGCTCCGCAGCTGCCGCCGGGGCCGGAGTCGACTCCGCTCCCAGGGCGCGCGTGCGCCGTCGGCGCTCCATCCGTCTCGTCCCCCCGTCGCGACGCCGGGTCACACCTGGTGACGGTGCTGGCCCCGGCGGAGGCCTCTCCGTCGTTCCTGCCCGCCCCGGCCACTGCCGTCGGTGGCACTGCCCCCGCCCTGCCCTTGGTCTCGGCCCCAAAAGCCGTGAGCTCGACTGGGGTCGGCTTAAACACGGTCGCCGCGGCGGGCGATGGCGACGCGCTGGCCCCAAGCGGGGCTACCAAGGAGAGCGGCGGCCGGCGAGGCTCTGGTGTCTCCGCGGGGCTGGATCTGACGGCGCAGCCGTTGGCTGCCACCGGGCGGGGCTCGGCTCCTGGGATGTCGCCAGCGCGTGATGTGACGACGCCGGGGTCGGCGTCACGTGACTCGAGTGCGACCGCGCCGGTAGACGCACCGGAGGCCGCTATGCCCATGCGTACCGCGTCGGCCGCTGCCGTCGTGGCCGCCCGGACTGCACCCCATACCGCTCTTGAGACGATGCGGGAGGTCCCGGTGGCGGTGACTGAAGCCCTGATGCCTCCGGCCGCCGCGACCTCGCCGCTGCGGCCAGACCCGCTGACTCCGCCGCGCCCGGCGGCCACCGGCCAACAGCAGCCAGGGTCGCCGCACGTGGTCCGGCTGGTCCGGAGGCCTGGAGCGAGCCGACGTCCGCCCGGTGCCCCAGACCAGGTGAGCAGCGGCGCTGCGCCAACCGTGAGCCGTGAGCCAGGCGCTGCGCCAGCCGTGAGCCGTGAGCCAGGCGCTGCGCCAGCCGCGAGCCGTGAGCCGGGCACCGCGCCAGCCGTGAGCCGTGAGCCAGGCGCTGCGCCAACCGTGAGCCGTCAGCCAGGCGCCGCGCCAGCCGTCAGCCAGGCGCTGCGCCAGCCGCGAGCCGTGAGCCGAGCGCCTCGCCAGCCGTGAGCCAGGCGCTGCGACAGCCGTGAGCCATGAGCCAGGCGCTGCGCCAGCCGTGAGCCGTGAGCCGGGCGCCGCACCAGCCGTGAGCCAGGCGCTGCGACAGTGGGAAGCAACGCAGATCCTGCCCCCAGCATGCTCGTGGGTCCGTTGGGCTTTTGGCTCCTTGTTGTCACGTGATTCCTGGCGTGATCCCTGGAGGTGCTCTAAAAGAGAGCTGTAATGCCTGGCACATGTGGCTGTTTCTGAATCGGCGGGCTCCAATTTTAGAGCAGTTTTCTGCACTTGTAGGCATGTGCCCTAAATCATCACGGTTAACTCACGTTCGTTATGAGGGAACGCAACTCGATAATCTCTATCTTTTACATAGCATCATGCCGGTCGGGGTTAAGTCAGGAGAGGCCGACAAAGCTGTGTCGTCGGCCTATGTAACGTGGCCCGCTTCCCTGCGCAGCTGCCGCCTGTGCATTTGACGGTCGCATCCTCTTCAGGCCGCCGACGCAGCTGCGGCGGCTACGGACGGCGCAGCGGAGACGGTCGCTGCTAGGCGGCCCAGCTACCCGTGCTGCTTCTGTCAGGATTCGTTCGCCGCCAAGGCTACGCTTGACGCGCATCTGAAGAACGTTCACGGCAAAAACTACCGCTGCACACTGTGCACAGAGGTGTGTCTTTCCACAGCGTGGGCCGGCCGCCTTACGATTGGCTTTGCCGGACATGTGTTGGGCTGCGAATCTGGCTTGCAAGCCTGTCAAAAGCTTCCTTACCATGGGTAGCTTTGCGTTGGCTTCCTGGAAGCATTGCATGGTGCCAGATATTATGGGAAGCATTGCATGATGCCAGATATCCTGGGACATGACACCCACCCGTCCCAGTCGTCTAACTCGTTTAAGTAAGTGTCGAGTTACACGGTTCAGATTTGTGTTCAGCGTTTTCAGAGTCGCGTTCAGCAGTTCAGAGTCGGGTTCAGCAGGTTCAGATTCAGATTCAGATCACACAGTTCAGAGTCGGTTGCCGTGGTTTAGAGTCGATTGCCGCGGTTCAGAGTCGGTTGCCGCGGTTTACGTCGGGATCAGCAGTCGAGAGTCGTGTTACATGGTCCGAAGTGGGCTGCCACGTCCGGTTCGCCCTCAGACGCTGTCGTCGTTCCACGGCTTCACGGAACACGTGCGGTTGTCGCACGGCGTGGAGCGGACGCTGCTGTGCCGACTGTGCGGCCTTCAGCTGGGGACGCTGCAGGCCTTCTGGCGCCACCTGGACACCCACCAGCGGAGCCGAGCCTCCACCTGTGAGGTCAGGGCCAACGTCGTGGCACGTCGTGCGTCGCTGCCTACTCCGTAGTTGCCCGCGAGAGCCGCGCGCCGCCGGGTATCTTGAGACTTTCAGGTGCACTTTTGAAGGTTTCGTGGGCGGTTGTCCACTCCAGTTGATGTGCATAATGTTTCCGCTAGAGGTGGGGGAAGTGTCATCAATGAGAGACGCCGGTGGTGTGAGAATTGTTGCTGCTCTCTCGTGTCCCACACTCAAAACCGGGATGCAGTAGCAACCGTCGGTGTTTTGTGGCTGCTGCGTGTAATTGTTATATACAGGAACAACCCGGCCTCTGTGGGTCGATTTGGCCGCAGAGGCCATAGAGGGAGTGCGAATCGGCCCCGCACATACACATGACGCTGGACTGTTGTACAACCAGTGCCGTATTCAACCGAGCAATACCGAGTATTCAGCCACGAATCTGTGCCCGCAGTCTCGCGTTCGCCTCAGTTGATGTTGTGTTGGTCAGCGCCGCAGGGCTCGTTTCGACACGTGCGCGTGCTGCCTCAGATGTGCGGCAAGTCGTTCACCCGGGCCGACTACCTGAAGGTCCACCAGCGGCTGCACCAGGAGAGGGCCCCGCGCCCCGTCTGCCGCCATTGCGGCCGTTCGTTCAGCTCCAGCAGTAACCTGCACACCCACCTGAAGGTGCGCTCCACGCGCGCCGACGGCGCTGCTCATGGGGCGCGTCCGGGCGCGCTCGAGAGAGAGTGCCGTGGATGTGGGCCTCTGGAAAGGGCTAATGTGCGGTCGCCAATCTGGACAGCAGTTCAGACAGGTCTGATGTGTTCAGCTGTGCCAGGTTCTTGCCCAGTTTGCTGTAGCCCACTCAGCGCATAGATCCTGTGTCGCGTGGTTCAGCAATACGTTGCACCGCGTTCAAACAGTGTAGTACGGTTTATGTGTCAGCATCGCTGGAGCTGAGCTTAGAAGCCTTGCGGTCCTCCGCGCTGACGTCAGCGGAAGCATGAAAATTTTCTCGCGGTGGGGCGCGAACCTGCCGTTTCGCGGTCGCAAGTCAGCGTCGCGGCCGCCATCCGGCTGCAGCATTCCTGATGCTCGGGGCTGTTTCAGCTGCACTCTGGCGAACGCCGGTTCGTCTGCCACTGCTGCAGTCGCCAGTTTCACCGGGCCGATCGTCTCAAGGTAAGGGCTCCTCTCCCAACGGGGAGGGTGTCGCGCCGACGATCATCGCAGGAGACGTGGACGCGGCCCGGGCCGAGAGATGTGGCGTGGGGACCTCGCTCACCGGGGTGGCGTGGATATCGTGGTGTTGTGATCAGTGAACCGCGGCCTGGACAGCCCATGGGAATGTGGTCGTTTTGGGGGATGACTTCATGTGCGGGGAAGGGGTATTTCGGTTTCCCGTATTCTAGCATGAGTGCAGAGAACCAAATGGTGGAAAATGTGTATTGTTGGGCTGGAGAGGGACCCTTTTAAAATATTTTCACTGTGGATACCATGGAAGGCCATTTCATGCCCTTCGACGAGATAAAAGCCATTGTAGGTGAAAAGGGAAGTCATGGCTGCTGCCTTGGCTCCCCGTGGGTCCGGTGCCACAGAGATGGTTTGCATCTGTAATGAGTGGCTGCATTACTACTATTAGCGCGAAGCTTGCATGATATCGAGATGCTTTAGTTCTCGGCTCTGCCTCACATGCCGGTCCCCATGACCACTTCCATCCAGCTGTTCATTGTGTGCGTCATCTGATGTGGGCACTGGAGAGGGTGGCCGACCACCCGCTTCGCTGATCGCCTCGCCGCCGTACGGGTGCCCGCTCCATCTTTCACACTGCCCCGTCTGGTCTACAGAGTCACCTGGTCAAAGACCACGGTGAACGGTGCCAGCAGCCAGGGAGGCGTGTCAGAAACGTGTCGTGACACAGCCCAGCATCAGGGACCCGTCGTGACACAGCCCAGAGTCACGAAACCTATCGTGACACAGCCCAGAGTCACGAAAGCTGTCGTGACACAGCCCGGCGTTACGGAACTTGGCACACGCCCAGCGTCACGAAACCTGTCGTGACATAGCCCAGCGCCACGAAACCTGTCGTGACGTAGCCCGGCGTCACGAAACCTAGGCTGGCGCTTCGAGGCACGAGAAAAAGTACAGCGCCACTACATGTGCGGCGCGTTGAGTGTTGCGAAGCCTGTCGTGACCGGTCAGCGGTACGGGACGTGTGATATGGTCCGGTGTCACGAAACATGTCATTACATGGCCCAAGGTCGCGGTTCGTCGGGTCACGACACATCGGCTCGCGACACGACAGTCGCTTATGCGACGTCACGAAACATGATGGAGGAAGCAGTTGTGACACCAGTCGTGATTTGCTCCGCGTGTGACACAGCCCAGCTTCGTGATCCGTGTCGTGACATGCCGTGGCGTGCCCAGCATTACGTCACGAACTGATGCCGCCGTCGAGGGTTGGCCATGCCGCAGGCCTCAGGGTCGGGATGGCAACCTCACGATGGTTTGTCAGCCGGAGCAACAGCTGCTTGCGGTTCAAATGTCGTTCTGGTACGGCTGACGTGTGCACCTCGGGTTCCAGTTATTGGAACAACCATATTGCCACAGTGGACGCGGACCTCATCACCGGGCTGGTCCCTGTCGGCCGGTGGTAGTGCCCCCCCCCCCCCCCTCCCCCGCGTCAGTGCCCTCTGTATACCAGCACCTGTAACGAGCTTGGCAGGCCCCGGGTCACTGCAATAAGGTATGGAACTGGGTAAACATTGGAGGGATCGAAAGTCAGGCTGTCGCAGCACTTGCATGATATTTTTAGTCATGTCAGCTTTTGCTTCATTGTCATAATGGCATTGGTGTTACGATGTGTGTGGTACATTTGGCCACACAAGCTGTTGGTTCGCCGCGGTGATGCGCTTCTAGCACCTCCGTGGATTTGATACGAAGTCTACGAGGTTTCGGAAGGTTGAGACACCATTATGATTGGTGAACTACCTCGTTCTGAGTTTTGGGACGAAGTCACGGGGTCGAGATCCGCCGCTGCTCGATATCCTCGCGTAGCGTTGGTCTTCCCGCGGACGTTTGTTGAGGCTGTCCATGTTTTGGATGTATTATTTTCGTCCATTGTGTGTTGCTGCGTGTTGCGTGAATGCACCGTGGCAGTGGCTCTCGCCATAATCAATACATGTGGCGAACCTTCCCGCTGATCCTGATCAGGGCACTCTTGGTATCCCTGTCCCTCTCCGCGGTCTCCCCGCTGAGCCTCACCAGGGCACTCTCCAAGTATCCCTCCCCACGATCGCCCCGCTGGCCTCACCAGGGCACTCTCCCAGTATCCAAGTGTCCCTCCCCACGATCTCCCTGCTGAGCCTCACCAAGGCACTCTCCAGTATTCCTCGCCACGATCTCTCCGCTGAGCCTCACCGGGGCACTCTCTCCAGCGTCCCTCCGCACGGTCGTGGAATGCCTCGGTCGCACCCCTCCAACCTGACCCAGGCAGCACGCCGTGTCGCGTCACTCGTCGGTGCGCCGTGTGATGACGTCGATCCCGCGTACGGATGCCGCCTGTGCGCTGTCGGCGGCGACCGAGTCGAGTGTGCCGACATCCGGCGCTGCTGCCGATGGCGGTGCGGCGGGCGAGCGTATCATTAGGTGACGCAATGTGTTACCCAATGCTGAGCGCCGACGCAGCGGCCTGAAGCCACGGACGCCTGCTGTTGTTTCTCAGTGCTGTGGGTCGTAGTGAACGCTGCTGCGTGCTGTGCGCAGGCCGGCTGGCGGACCTGGGCTCGCGTGGAGTAGTTGTGACGCAATATGCGCCCCCGGGGCCGTCTGTCCTCGTCGCGCTGACAGCCGGCCCTATGATGCAGGGCGTTGATCTCCGCGATGTTAGCTGCTGGACGTGCTTGTGTGCGACACGCAAGACTCCGCGGTTTATAAACCAGACCAGTCGGCAGTCAGGTCTTTTGTATACTCTCGGAACAGTGCATGTCGCCGTTAAAAAGCGTTTATCATTCGGCCGACACCACACTCATCAGCACGGAACGTACATCGGTGCCCTGACATCCTTGTCAAGAATTGGTATTTGGCACCGTAAAAACCAAAATCCTGGTCTCCTCCGTCACACAGAGCGGGCTCACCCATCCTTATGTCTAGTGAGGTCTCTAAACGCACGTGCGACAGCTCCTCTCCCTGTTACCGCCGCCTCACCACCGCTTCTTGGCGGCATTGAAGGCGTTGCGGTCCTTGACCTTCTCGTACTGCTTGATCCAGACGCCGATGAACTCGCGTTGCACGCGGCGCGCCTCGATGACGTCTGGCGGGTCGGCCGGGTTCGAGCCGCGCAGGTCCAAGTGATGAGCCCCCTGCCACGCGGACGCCCGGCCGGATCAGGCGGGGCCCTCACCAGGGCGGACACGGGACAGGGACACCCGGGTTGCATCCCACAGCGCGCTGTCAACGGCCATCGAACCCGCTTGTGCAACGCGACCCCTCTTGACAACGGTGGTCGGCAAAGCAGGATCACGTGACAGGCAGCTCAGCCGGTGCTGCGGTTATTTGACAATGTGCGTGAAGCAGATAACGAGGCAACACATCCGTCGCATGCGCTTGCCCTGAGGGCACGGTCACCCGACCTGCCCGAGGCCACCCCGGACAGTCTGAGGCCACCCAGCCGGCCCGAGGTCACCCCGGCCGGCCACTTACGTTCGGGATGATGACGGCCACGAGCGAGTCCGAGAGGGAGCGCAGCACACCTCCCGACGACCACGGGTCAAGCAGGCCGTTCGCGAACACGATGTTGCTGCTGCCGGTGATATTGAGGCCGCCATACAGCAGCGGCGCCATCAGCGGGCGTGGCTGCACGTTGTGACGCGCGCGGCAGGCAGCCGTGTACTCGGCCAGGTTCCACGGCGATGGTGCGAACATGTCCGCCACGCCGTCGTAGCACATGGGCATCACCATCTCCGTGCAGGCCTGTGGCAGAAGGGCGCGGGGTTGCGTGCTGGGGGGGGGGGGGGGGCGGCAAGAGGGAGAGCTGACGGGCTCACGCGAGGCAGATGGCGGCGGAGGTCAGAGGTCAAGCGCAGGGGGTCACGTGTCGGGGAGGGATGGTGCTGTGGTCCGTGAGGGAAAGGGTCGACTGGGGGCACAGTCTGTAGCGACAGTCCTTTATTCGGTATCGGGGAAACTTGACGGGCCTCTAGTGCGTGTCCAGATGGTTACGGGACGTGGGAGTCCGTCCGACGACGCGACAACGAATTCCAGGACGCATGTGACGCGCGCGAGTTGATGCGACAATGAGACACTCGGGCGAAAGTGGCGACTGGCGCGCCAGGTGGCGCCAGCACCTGGCAGCGGTCACCTGCTCGGGACAGTCGCGTAGCTGTCAGCGAGCCGACCCGCGCTGACCGCGGGCCGCGGGGAGCTGACGGGTCGAGAGGAAGCCGCTCCAGCAGCTGGCAGCCATCGGCCGCTCACCTGGAAGTCCCAGCCGTCGTCGCCCAGGGACGACGTGCCCTGGCTGCCGGTATCCACGCAGTCGGCGGCGCCGGTGTAGTTAAAGTATAGGTTGATGACGTCGTAGATGTTGGTGAGCAGCGCGCGGTCGTCGTTCCCGTGGTCGTCGTGCAGGTAGGAGCACGCCACCTGAGCGGCGCAGGAGGTGCGCGTTAGTTAGTGGCCATTCCGCCACGCCCGATGGCAAACGTGACGCCACGATGAAACAGAGTGACACGCGCGCGTCATTGGTGATCGCACTTCTAAGGGAAGGCCTTTAGGCTCGGACAGACCACGTCGATTTTTTGCCCACATGTTAAGTCTAGGACCAAGCCCACTACCATTGTGAAATGGAGCTCGTGCACGTGGTAATCACATCGGTGAATGTTTTGGTAATCGGAACTCAGGGTGTAAGCCGGCAGGACTGGATCCAGCGTGACGGTGAGTCAGGCGGGACAGCCGCCACGGGTGGCCGTCCTCCGCACGACACATGTACCGTCTCTTTGCATCGACTGGCACTTTCAGCAGCACAAGCATCCTTATCAAACATTCTCATTTTAGGTCATAAAACTAGGTTGACTAAAACTAGGTAGCGAATTTGACCGAGAGACCCGAACAAGACCAGCACATTCGTTACCAGGTATTCCGTACAATCAAAGTCGAGCTCCGCTCATCAGCAATTTAAACCCGATACAAATACATCAGATTCATCCGCAACCAACACCTTGACGGGGTAGCCGGGCAGCGGGGATAGAAAGCTGGCCGGGTACGGGTAGTCGATCATGGCGAAGTTGGTGTACATGTCGTTAAGCCACTGTTTGAAGTCCGTCAGCTGGGAGCTGTTCAGCGGGCTACACAGGTTCCAGGCGTCGCTCAGCCAGTCCATGCCTTCCTCTGTGGAGGGCGGCAGACGTAGGGTGGAGATGACGCACATCAGAGCGCACCGCGTCCGCTACAGGTTCGACTGGCGTCCCGCAGCGTGGTTTCCAAGTGCCGCCATCGCACTTCGGTGGGTGGTCAGACGCCCACCGGCCCTGGGTCAGTGTCCCACTGGTCCCGACATACGACACGCCCGGTCTCATCACCCTCCCTGTGTTGTCGCTACGACGGCCGAGGTGAGTGTTTAAACGCTGGCTCGCGCTGCTCCTGGGAGACATGGGGTACCCGCCATGTCCCCAGGGCCGGCGCTCCGCCACGGCCAGCTCGAGGCAGGCCCAACCGGAGCCGGCTGCTCGCGGCGGCCACGCCACACCAGGCACCGGCACATAATGGGGTCCCATCTGGGGCGGGGCAGGCGGCGGCCGGACGGCGGACACCAGATGACGCCGTGCCAGCCACCGGCAGCACGACCAGAGACGAGTCGGAACGCCCCGGCACGGGCACGCTGACCACACAGACGCGGTCTGACGTCATGACCGCGGGTCTGACGTCACGCGTAGTGCGGCACTGTCCCTGCGCATCGCGTGGGGAGCGATGCGCCAGGGGTAGATGGTCACACTCCCTGGCAAAAACGGCCTCGCAAGCCCTGGCCATATTGCAGTACAAATTTGCTACGTTTTTGCTAAAAAAAGGTTGCTAACCAATTTTTTAATGCTCATCGTTTGGTGACTACATGGGATGGATGGGGGTTCAGCTTTGTATTACCCCCCACCCCCCCACCCCCCCACCACCCCACCCCCACCTCCACCCCCACCCCCACCCATCTGTGGAGAGTTTCTACACCCCCCGCACGTCACCTGCGTGCTCGGAGGGGGGGGAGGGGAGGGGCGTCGGGTGATGACGTACGGTCCGCGGTCAGGCGGTCGATGGCGT